ACCGCAAGACTCCATCTCAAAAAAATAATAATAATAATAAATGATGCATCAAAATATTAACTAACACAGATTATCTATGGAGAGTAATGCCATGAGTGATTTTTTTTGAAATCTCCTTTGTATTTACTGATTTTTCCTAAAATTAACATTTAATTTATATGAATTGTTACTTACACATACAAATTATTATATATTTGTTCGACTACACATAAATATTCCTGGAAAACTACACAATAGCACATTAGCTCCCTCTGGCAACAACAGAAGGTTCGTGGCTGAGGGTCAGCATGTGGAAGAACATTTTTCACTATGTACTTTTATGGAGCCTTTGAATTTTGAATCTTATGAATATATATATATCATATATATATATTATATATATATATATATATATATTTTTTTTTTTGAGGTAAGCTCTCATCTCACTGTGGTGTCCAGGCTGGTCTGGAACTACTGGGTTCAAGGGATTCTCCCTCCTTGGCCTCCCACAGTACTGGGATTATAGGAGTGAGCCTCCACACTCGGTCAAATTTATCATCTTTTCACAAATACAAATACAAACTAAATTTTAATTTTAAAGCAAAATAATTTTTTTTTTTTTTTTGAGATGGAGTCTCGCTCTGTCGCCCAGGCTGGAGTGCAGTAGCACCATCTCCGCTCACTGCAAGCTCCGCCTCCCGGGTTCAAGTGATTCCCCTCCCTCAGCCTCCTGAGTAGACGGGATTACAGGCCTGTGCCACCACACCCAGCTAATCTTTGTATTTTTAGGTAGAGACGGGGTTTTGCCATGGCTGGGTTGGTCTTGAACTCCTGACCTCAAGTGATTCGCCCGCCTCTGCCTCCCAAAGTGCTGGAATTACAGGCACGAGCCACACCACGCCTGGCCAAAAATAAAAGATTTAAGGGGCGTCTTTGAAATTTCACAAGCCCGTTTTTGTGCAGCAGTGACCATGGAAGGAGACTGTTTATCTCAGAGTCACAAACTCAAATGCCTAGATGGGCCAGAGGGATAAATGCGGGACAGAACTGGTGTAATAATAGGGAGTGGTGGGGACTGCAGCAACCTGGAAAGCAGAGACCCTGTCTGTGGTGGCAGCGTGATTCTACTCCAGCTGATTAGACCATGCGGGAAGACTGCCCCGGGGCCAGCCCCTCCAGCTCATCAGTAGAAGCCTAACATCTAGGATTCCATATGCTTTTCCTCACTTTAGGCCAGGCGCGGCGGCTAATGCCTGTAGTCCCAACATTTTGGGAAGCAGATCACTGGAGCTCAGGAGTTCAAGACCAGCCTGGACAACTTGGCGAAACCCCATCTCTACAAAAATACAAAATTAGCCAGGCATGGTGGCGCATGCCTGTAATCCCAGCTACTTGGGGGGCTCAGGTGGGAGGATCACTTGGGTCCAGAAGGTTGAAGCTGTAGTGAGCTGAGATTGCACCACTACATTCAAGCGTGGACAACAGAGTAAAACACTGTCTCAAAAATTTTAAAAAGTGCTGACCCCAAAAATGAGTTTCTATAGGCCAGGCACAGGCCAGTTTGCAATCTCTACATTCATATGGAATATTTTTGTTTACACCCCCAAAGTAGTTTAGGGAGAAGTAACTTGCTTAGAGTCAAAGAGTGACTCTAGAACTTTGAGATCCTCAGCCTCCCTAGTAGCTGGGATTACATGCATGCACCACTATGCCTGGCTAATTTTTTTATTTTTAGTAAAGACAGGCTTTCACCATGTTGGCCAAGTGCTGGTCTCGAACTCCTGACCTCAGGTGATCCTCCCACCTCGGCCTCCTAAAGTGCTGGGATTACAGGCATGAGCCACTGTGCCTGGCCAGAACTTTAGTTCTAACAGTAGTTATTAATAGTTAACAGCAGGCCAGGAGCGGTGTCTCATGACTGTAATCCCAGCACTTTGGGAGGCCAAGGGGGGCGGATCACCTAAGGTCAGGAGTTTGAGACCAGCCTGACCAACATGGAGAAACCCCGTCTCTACTAAAAATACAAAATTAGCCAGGCATGGAGGCGCATGCCTGTAATCCCAGCTACTTGGGAGGCTGAGGCAGAAATGCTTGAACCCAGGAGGGGGAGACTGCGGTGAGCCGAGATTGCGCCATTGCACTGCAGCCTGCACAACCAAAGCAAAACTCCGTCTCAAAAAAAAAAAAAAAAAAAAGTTAACAGTGACTTGGAGGGAGCGAGAGGTTTACAGGGCTGTCGGACCCTTTCGGGGGCACCAACATTTTATCAGAGCAGGAAGCCCAAGCCTGCTCACTGAGGACATTTGAAGAGTGGAGTGGAAACAGAAGCCCAGTGCAGGAGGGTGAGCTCTCCTGGCTCCCCTGGAAGAGCCAGCCTTCATGTTAGGCAAGGCTGGTCAGCAGCCAAAGTCAAGGTATAGAAGCAGGGAGCCAGACCTAAGACCTTGAGCACTGGTCTCTGGCCTCCCTACCTCCCTGCCTGTGCCCACCGTGTCCCCTTCCACTCTGCCGGTTTACACCCTGGCCAGCCTGCAGCTCAGTCACATCTATCTCCCACCCGCAGGCTCCCTGACCACACAGAGAAGAGGCAGGATTCAAACAAAGGCTGGCTCATTCCTCTAAGTCCCTGCTCTTTCCACCCCAGCATCCTCCCTTCTCTGGGTTACTGCATCCTCTGAACCCGTTTCTTCACCCCTGAAATGAGGCTAAGTACTCCAGAGGCTGAAGCAGAAGGATTGCTTGAGCCCAAGAGTTTGAGGCTGCAGTGAGCTATGATGGCACCACTGCATTCCAGCCTGGGCAACAGAGCAAGACCCCATCTCTAAAAGCTAAATCAGGCAAAGCATGGTGGCTCACACCTGTAATCCCATCATTTTGGGAGGCCGAGGTGGGCGGATCACCTGAGGTCAGCAGTTTGAGACCAGCCTGCCCAACATGGTGAAACCTCGTCTCTACTAAAAATACAAAATTAGCCAGTTGTGGTGGTGAGTGCCTGTAATCCCAGCTACTGGGGAGGCTGAGGCAGGTGAATCACTTGAATCCAGGAGGCAGAGGTTGCAGTGAGCTGAGATCACCCCCCTGCACTCTAGTCTTGGGCAACAGAGCCAGACTCCGTCTCAAAAAAAAAAAAAATTTAAATAAAAGCTTAATTAATTAATTAATAGGAAGAAATGAGGCTAAGGATACCTCTTTCATAGGGTGACTGTGAGTTACATGGAATGAGAGGTGAAGAAATTGAAGATGAGAGACTATTTTGCATCTACCCAATTAGCAAAGGTTTTGAAATGGTAATACTCAGTGCTTGTGAGTATCTGATGAAATGGGACGCTTTCGTCTCCTTCAATGAGATTCCCACCTCAAGTGCTCAGAAGGGTCCCTACACGTTGGAAGAGATCAGTAAATCTCAATAAATTCCTGGTGACTGAGTGACCACACTCTTACATCTGTTAATTCTCTAGTTCCTCTTTTCAACAAATAGGGAAGGCTGGGGGTGTTAAGTGACTTGCTAAAGTCACACAGCTGGTAACACAGGAGTCAGAATTAGAGCCTCAGAATTTCTTCTGTCCTCCCGAGGGCCTTGTCCTGGGCCCCTTCCTGTTCTCTCAGACCACCAGGATGGGACACAGCTGGCGCCCGCATACCCGCCCTTTCCACTCCCCTGGGGCCCCACCTCCCACAAGGCCTGCCTGGTTCGCCTCTCCTGGGCACCTCTGGGTCCCAGGCCAGATCCCCAGGCCTCCCGGGGACAGGAGGGGAAGGTCCACGTGAGATGATCTCACAGGGTAGTCACAGGGAGAGAAACGATGTGGAGGCGGGGCAGGGTGGGGTCCAGACAGACCCTGAGGGGGGAGCTGTCAGAACATCCCCATGTGTGGACAAAAGGCCCTGACCTGTGGTGCTGGCAAAGGTGCTCAGGCCACAACCGCCCTATGGCCACACACACGCACACACACACCCCGCAAGGATCACACAGGGAGGAATCTCGGACACTCCCTGAGGGGAACCAAGCTCTGATCCCAGTGAGGGCCCTAATGAGTAGGGCTGTTCCGCTCACTCCCACCTTCACTGACCACCCAGCCGGGTTCAAGGGACTTCCCTCCAGCGCCCACCCCTCCCCTACTCTCCACCCAATGAGCCTCCAGAGGGGAGGCCATGATCCAGATCTAAGCCAATCAGCACACTGCCTCCCTGGCCACAGTGATTGGTTCGGTGTGGGCACATGACCTCAGTGGCTCCAATCAGAGCACAGCTCAGGACTTCCACTGGGAATCATGGAACAGCTTCCATCTCCAGATTTCCGTCTGGAGCCCCTGGAGTGCCTGGCCCTCGTCTTGGGTCCATAAGGAGAGTCTTCCAGACTGGACCACCACCAAGAAAACAATAAAAAGCTGAGACTCGGCAGCTGAGTCCCGATCATGTGCTTCACTCTGGATTAGGTCTTGCCTGAAGCTATCGAGAAGCTGCGTTGTTACAAGAGCCCCCCAAAACCCTGTGTTTTGCTTAAGCAAGTTTGGGTTGGGTTTTGTCTTACAGACAGTCCCCGACTGACTTATGCTTGACACAAATTATTCGACCTACGATGGGTAATCCCATCGTAAGTCAGGAAGCTCCTTACCATTTATGTTTTCTACTGAAAGCCTATCGCTTTGGCACCATGGTGAAGTTGAAAGCCGGTAAATCAAACGATCCTAAGTCGGGCACCGTCTGCTGTGTTGCAGACATTAAATGTATTTTCGGCTTTCGGCATTTTCTATTTAAGTTGGGTTTATCGGGATGTAATTCCACCCTAAGTCAAGCAGCAGCTGTATTTACGACCAAGAGAATCCTAAATGATACCCAGCAGAGCTGTCCAGACATACACCCAGAATGAGAGTTGCGCCCTCCTGCTCATAGCAAAAGTCAAGGAGCAAAGAAGAGTCTGCCTGTCCCTCCCCACTGAGGTCCCAAACTCCATGGGCTAGCAGCCTGTCTGCCCAGAATCTCTGCTCTAGACACCCACAACACAAACGAGAACACACAGATGCCACACACAGCACTGGGTGGACTTTTATTTTAAAGTCAAAGGCACAGCCTAGGTGGGCTGAGGCAGTGACCATGGATGCCCAGCCCAGACCCCCAAGGCCCCACCCCCAGCCAGGAGTAGCTGTGCCAAAGGGGAGGGGGTGGGTGAGAAGAGGGCCTCCTCTTTTAGGGGCCACCTATCTCCTTCCTTAGCCCCAACAGGGGAGAAGCAGGTGACATAAAATGAGGCAGAAATGCTTCAGGGGGTCCCCAGGGCCCCTCCTTCAGTCCCCCCAACACAGGTCTTTGGTGGACGTAATTGCACAGACAGTCCATAAAGTGACAGTTGAGGGGTGACCCTCCCAGGAACGGGGCCTCAGGGGAGAACAGGGGAGGGGGTCCCAGTTTAGGAGTTAGCACTCCTAACTCAGTGCTTAGAAGTGGGGGAGGGGCCCTTTCCTGTTGGAGCAGTCCCCCTGGAGGGGCCTTCTGCCCAGAAGAGGCAGTGTTGTGGGATAGGGCCCCCCAAACCCCACTCCCCAGCAGGCCCCCCCTTCCCTGCATTTCTATCTGGTAAGACATAAAAAATTCTCTGCTTATAAAAATACTTCTGCTCTGTCTGGGAGTGGGGTGGGGTAGGAGAGGGAAGGACAGTCCCTTAGGGATCAGGTCGGCTGCTGGCAGAGGCCTCCAGGAGTGAGCCGGGCTCCCAGGTCACAGCCCCTATGAGGGAAGGGGGTCACAGTGGCGGGGATTAGGAGGGGGGCAGGGGGCCATTGGCTCGGCGGGGGGCCCCCTTGGCGGCGGTGGGGGCTCGACCCGGGGCGGCTGGTGCGGGGGAGCCCCGGCGGGAGGCGGTGGCGCTCCGCAGCTTCTGCTTCCGCCGCTTAGCCAGGGGTGCGTTCTCCACGCTCTTCAGGAAGAAGCCCTCCCGCTTGCCCCGGTTGAACGCCTGGCAGAAAGGAAAGGGTGATCAGGTGCCCCCACCCCCCTGACCCTGGCTTCCAGATCTGACTTTGACCCCCATTCCCAGACCCTGCCTCCAGCCGCCTAAGTCAAGGCCTAGGCCAACAGGGCCTTGGCCTCCAGACCGACCAGAGGCCGGAATCGGTTCACCTCCCCTTTTTTTTTTTTTTTTTTTTTTGACGGAGTCTCGCTCTGTCGCCCAGGCTGGAGTGCAGTTGTGCAATCTCAGCTCACTGCAACCTTCGCATCTTTCAAGCGATTCTTCCTGACTCAGCCTCTGAGTAGCTGGGATTACAGGCGCGCGCCACCACGCCCAGCTAATTTTTGTATTTTTAGTAGAGACGGGGTTTCACCATGTTGTTCAAGCGGGTCTCGAACTCCTGACCTCCTGATCCGCCCGCCTCAGCCTCCCAAAGCGTTGGGATTACAGGGGTGAGCCACTGCGCCCGGCCACACCTCCCCTTTCTGAGCTCCGATGGCCCCGCCTTCCCAGACCCCACCTCTCGAGGCTCTGCCCACCCCTTCAACGGACCCCGCCCCTTACCATGAAGGTGGCGTTGAGACCCGAGCGCACTGCGGGCCCAGAGGACTCGAGCACGTCGGGCGTCCGGAGCGGGGGCGAGGAGCGCGCGCTGCCGTCTTGCAGCCACGAGCTGTCCCGCAGTCCCTCGAGCTTCAGCCGCTTGGCGGGGTCCACAGTCAGGAGCCCTGGAGGCGGAGGCGGGGCAAGGAAGTGTGGGAGGAGCCTGGTGTAGAGGCTGAGCCCCAAAGAGATGGTAACAGCTCCACTCTCCTCCCCTACCCATCTCCAACCAGGACACACGACCCAGTGACCATCTCTGTCCAGCGTCCCCCTCCCCAACCATGGTCTGTGACCTCCAGCTCCGCACCTCGGACCAGCTCCTTGGCTTCCTCGGATACGCCCTGCCAGGCCTCCCCGTCAAGGGAGAAGCGCCCTTCGCGGATTTTGCACATGATCTCGGCCGCCTGGCTCTGCCCGCCCTGGCCAGAGGCCCCCTGGAAGGGGACCTGCCCCGACAGCATCATGTACTAGGAGGGGTGAAGGGAAGGTGAGACCGGCCCAGGCTGCGGGGCCGAGGCTGACCCCTCAGCTCCCACAGAACCACTCACCCTCCCCACTAGGAGCACTCCTGAGACCCACGCGTGGTGAACCCTGACTTCTAACCCCCAATAGCCGGATGCTCCGACTCTAGCACCAGAGCAACCCTGCCTCTGTTTTTTGTTTTTTTTTTTTTTTGAGATAGTCTCGCTCTGTCGCCCGGGCTGAAGTGCAGTGGCCGGATCTCAGCTCACTGCAAGTTCCGCCTCCCGGGTTTACGCCATTCTCCTGCCTCAGCCTCCCGAGTAGCTGGGACTACAGGCGCCCGCCACCTCGCCCGGCTAGTTTTTTTGTGTGTTTTTTAGTAGAGACGGGGTTTCACCGTGTTAGCCAGGATGGTCTCGATCTCCTGACCTCGTGATCCGCCCGTCTCGGCCTCCCAAAGTGCTGGGATTACAGGCTTGAGCCACCGCGCCCGGCCCCGCCTCTGTATTTGAATCACCCCGATCCCAGCCTCAGACGAAACCCAGCCGCTCCCACCAAGATGACCCCTATTCCCTCCCTCGTGCTGCTCCACATCAGGAAGACGCCAGAGCGACCCTGACCCCGCCTCGAGGACCGCGTCCCATACCAGAATGACTCCCAGGCTCCAAAGGTCGCAGGACTCGTCGTAGCCCTGCTGCGCCAGCAGCTCCGGGGCAGCGTACTGCAGCGTGAAGCAGGGCGTCTGCATGGGCACCCCGGGACTCTGCGGCCGCAGCCGCGCGAACCCGAAGTCGATGATCTTCACCGGGGCCCCGGGCGTGTCGTCAGCGTACAGGATGTTCTGCGAGGGCGGCGGGGTGGTGGTCAGAGGCAGCCCCGGACGCCACAGCCCCGCCCCACCGCCGAGGCCGCTCGCCCACCTCTGGCTTGAGGTCGCGGTGCACCACGCCCGCCTCCTCGTGCATGAAGCTCACGGCCGACACGAGGCTGCGCAGGATCTGGCTCGCTTCCGACTCACTGAAGTGCCGCTTCTTGCGGATGTGCTCCAGCAGCTCCCCACCCCGCAGTAGCTCCAGAACCAGGTACGTGTGCAGCTGCGGGCGGAGTGGCGGGCCACGGTCACCACCTCCCCACCTGCCCACGGCGGCGGGCCCTCTCCCACCACCCAGGCCCAGTCCCCAGCCCTCGGGCCCTGCCCAAGTTCAAGCACCCCCTCCTCAAAATCCTTTTTCTTTCTTTTTTTTTTTTTTTTTTTGGAGCCAGTCTCGCTTTGTCGCCCAGGCTGGAGTGCAGTGGCATGATCTCGGCTCACTGTAACCTCTGCCTCCTGAGTTCAAGCGATTCTCGTGCCTCAGCCTCCCAAGTAGCTGGGATTACAGGCGCATGCCACCGCGTCCGGCTAATTTTTGTATTTTTCGCGGTGTTCCCAGGCTGGTCTTGAACTCCTGACCTCAAGTGATCAGCCCACCTCCGCCTCCCAAAGTGCTGGGATCACAGGCGTGAGCCATCGCGCCCAGCCAAAGTCCCTTTTCCTGTCCATCCTCAGCTCCGCCTTCCTGTCCTTAGGCCCTACTCCCCTCAAATTCCACTTCCTGCGCCTCCCTGGTCCCTTCGGGCCCCGAATCAAACGCTAGGCCCCTCCCAATTTGCCCCTAGATCCCGCCCATAGTGCCCCCAAGCCCCGCCGCCTGCCCCTTTTCTCTCCGCCCTCCCCCAGCCGGAAGCCATCACCTGGTCGTGATGCACCTCGTGCAGATTCACCACGTTGGGATGTGACTGGCACAGGCGCAGGGCAGCCACTTCTCGCTGCGTGTTCGCCTCCAGCCTGGGGGACGCAGCAGGAGTTACGGTCTCCGTGCTTCGGCCCCGCCCCCGGGACGGCGCTCTGCCACCCCACCCCTACCCACGCCTGGGCCCTCCCACCTGCGACTGAGGATCTTGACTGCGAACTCCTGGCCGCTCTGGCGCTGGCGGCAGCGGCGACACACAGAGAAGCTGCCCTGGCCCAGAGCAGGCTCCCGCAGGTCCAGCTCGTACTGCTGGAAGAAGGGCGAGTCCTGGAGGCGAAGGCGAAGGGGGCGTGTCAGAGGTCCCACCTGGTAGCCCCGCGGCCCCGCCACGCCCCATGTCGCAGAGGCTTGGGACCTCACCGAGCTCACGCTGCAGGCACCCGTTGGATCTAGGCCTACAGTCCCCCCGGCCTAGGCCTCTCCTAAAACCAATTTCCCCCCAGCCCAGCCCAGCCCACCTGCATCATAGCGCTCCTGGCCACCGCTGCCCGACCTGGCGGGTCTCCAGCACCAGGCGCTTCCAGCACATCGGTCATCACCGCATTGTTGTGGTCGAAGAGGATGGAGGGTGCCACAAAGGAGTATCCCTGCAGGGTGGGAGTCGGGGGGATGGGCATGGGGGTTGGGGGTGCAGGTGAGGAGACTCTGGTGGGGAACCAGGCAGAGGCAAGACCCTGGACAAGGGGGCAGTGGCGGGTGTTCCAATTGCATCCTGGTACACATAGGATGTATGGACACATTTTATTCCACCTGGTTTTATAATCACTTGGAGTCATGTCTGTCCCCACCAGCCTGTGACCCCAACTTTCTCATCAGAGTGACCACCTATTCCTCCCCAGGTGCCAAGGGCTGAAGGCCCTGAAAGGATCACTGAATGTATTCAAAGTGTGGCCTGAATTCACGCTTAGCCTATGACAATCCAACTCTATCCGCTGAGGAAAAAAACCTTTATTCCTCCCTTTCAAGCCAGACTTTGGCTTCTTCTGCAAGGGGAGCTACTGAAGAAATGCAAAAAGAAACCAGAGTTAATTATTTGCTTTTCCTAAAGATCCATGTCCTGGCAATTTGAGGAGCTTTCAAGGGTCATTTTAATTGTGTGTTGCGGCCAGGCACGGGCACGGTGGCTCATGCCTGTAATCCCAGCACTTTGGGAGGCTGAGGCAGGTAGATCACCTGAGGTCAGGACTTTGAGACCAGCCTGACTAACATGGAGAAACCCCATCTCTACTAATAATACAAAAATTAGCCAGGCGTGGTGGCGCATGCCTGTAATCCCAGCCACTCAGGAGGCTGAGGCATGTAGAATCGCTTGAACCCGGGAGGCAGAGGTTGTGGTGAGCCAATATCATGCCATTGCACTCTAGCCTGGGCAACAAGAGTGAAACTCCATCTCAAAAAAAATGATAATAATAATTATCTGGGTGTGGTGGCACTTGCCTATAGTCCTAGCTATTGGGCAGGCTGAGGTGGGAGGATCACTCAAGTCCAGGAGTTCAAGATTGCAGTGAGCCATGGTTGCCCAACTGCACTCCATCCTGGGTGACAGAACAAGATCCTGTCTCTAAAAAAATTAATTAATTAATTAATTTTAAAAATAATTTTAAAAATAATTTTAAAAATAAACTATGTGTCATTTTCTCCTAAAAATGTAGTACCCAGATCCGTACATGGAATATTTTAGGCACTCACTACACATTTTTGAATCATTAAATGAATGAATGAAAGTACCTACCAATTCACGAGAAAGCACTTTCTCATGAGGGCTGTGAGACAATGGAATGGAATGTGGACATTCAAGCACAGAGTTGTCAATTCTAAGAGCTTCAGAGAAGGGATTTATCCAGCCATACTTGGTCTGTCTATTAAACAAACCATACTGGTTTATTTAGTGATAATGATATGATCATTATGGCAACATGATAAACTGCACAGAAGGAGGTGCTGTCCACAGAGGACTGCAGCACAGAGAAAGGGTAACTGACCCCCTGGGCCAGGTGAGCAGACAAGGAGGCCTAAAAGAGATGAGAAGCTTGCCAGGTAGACTACTGTAAGGAATGTACTCCAGGTAGCAGGAATAGCACGTGCAAAGGCACAGAGGTGTATTCTGGAACCTCTGAGCAGTTCGATCATGCCCTCCAGAGCATCAAGTAGGAAAATGATGAGAACTGAGGCTAAGGTTCTAAGCAAGGACCACATCATGAAGGGCCTCAAAGCCAAGCAAAGGGAGTTTGGACTTGTCCAAAAGGTGTAAGCTTCTAAAATTCAGTGGAGGGGGCTGGGTGTGGTGGTTCACGCCTCTAATCTCAGCACTTTGGGAGGCTGAGGCGGGCGGACCGCAAGGTCAAAAGATCAAGACCATCCAGGCCAACATGGTGAAACCCTGTCTCTACTAAAAATACAAAAATTAGCTGGGCATGGTGGCACATGCCTGTAGTCCCAACTACTCAGGAGGCTGAGGCAGGAGAATCATTTGAAGCCAGGAGGCGGAGATTGCAGTGAGCCAAGATCGAGCCACTGCACTCTAGCCTGGCGACAGACTGAGACTCCATCTCAAAAAAATAAAAAATAAAAAATCAGTGGAGGGCACCCATCCCTCCAGGAGTGTACCATGGTGTGCCAAGGGCGTGCAAAGCCACAATATCAACATGTGTCTCCTCCTAGGTGTCCACATAAGCAGGTGAAGATCTCTTTTTTCTTTGTTTTGTTTTTTTTGAGACAGAGTTTTACTCTGTCATCTAGCCTGGAATGCAATGGTGCGATCTCAGCTCACTGCAACCTCCACCTCCCAGGTTCAAGCGATTCTCCCACCTCAGCCTCCGGAGTAGCTGGGATTACATGCACCCACCACCACATCCAGCTAATTTTTGTATTTTTAGTAGAGATGGGGTTTCACCATGTTGGCCAGCCTGGTCTTGAACTCCTGACCTGAGGTGATCTGCCCACGTCAGCCTCCCAAAGTGCTGGGATTACAGGTGTGAGCCACCTCACCCAGCTGCAAGTGAATAAATTTAAATAATATTTTTACATAACAATAAAGAGATGATGGAATAGAAGGGAAATTAACAGAAGGTTTAAAGATAAATCATGAACTATCAAACACACATCCTGCCCCGGTGGTCTCTGTGACCGACAACCCTAGGTCCCCTTTACGTGGAGACATCTAGGGGAGACGTTGAGTCCCCATCAGGACACAAGGCCTAGGCAGTGTCCTCGGGTCAGCCAGGGCTGAGGCAGACAGCGACATCTCATCTCTCCTGCATATGAGTTCCATGAGTTTATCCTCACCTGAAAGATGCGGGGGTCCCCAGGTGGGGGGCTGCCAGGGGGTGAGTAGACAGGCTCCAGCCGAGTGAATTCCTCTGCAAAGTTGCCCACGTCCAGCTCTGAGCGGATTTGGGGCCGGAATGGGGCTGGAATCTTCCTGGCAGCCAGAGCAGCCCAATCTAGGCCCTGAGGGAAGGGAATCAGAGATTAGGTGTCAAAGGTCAGGAACGAGAAACTCCCTTCACTCAGCCCACCCTCACTGGCCAGTTCCTCCATGAGGCAAGGGCCCATCTGGCATTTGGGGTGGGCAGCTATTCCCCCTCCCTCCCTGGCTTCTCTCTCCCTCTGATAATACAATCCCTGTTCCCCTTAGAGAACCACCATTCCACCACACTTAGTCAGTTCTGGAACTTTTAATAGAATTGGTGTGAAAAGGTTGGGCGTGGTGTCTCATGCCTATAATCCCAGGATTTTGGGAGGCCGAGGAGGCTGGATCACCTGAGGTCAGGAGTTCAAGACCAGCCTGGTTAACACGGTGAAACCCCATCTCTACTAAAAATACAAAAAAAAAATTAGCTGGGCATGGTGGTGCACACCTGTAATCCCAGCTACTTGGGAGGCTGAGGCAGGAGAATCGCTTGAACTCAGGAAGCAAAGGCTGCAGTGAGCCAAGATAGCGCCACTGCACGCCAGCCTGGGTGACAAGAGTGAAAACCCCGTTTCAAAAAAAAAAAAAAAGAAAGAGTTGGTGTGAAAAAACAAACAAATCTCTTTCTCCTACTGGACTTAAATCTAAAAGGATGTGGTCTGGAACTGCTGGGGACCCTGTCAGGGTTAGATGAAGTCCCCATGCAGAAAAGCAGAACCAAGGGACATAGTTTCAGCACCTGGACGTGCTTAAGTCAGATAACTTTCCCTTGGCCTTTTCACTTATGGGAGCCAAAACATGCCCATTTATGTTTAAGCTAATGTGGCAGAACCTGTGGATTGCCTGCTCAATATCCATTCTCCCTATCTTCCTTAGTACCATAGCCCCAGTTTTATTCCAGGAACCAATATACACAGTTAAAAGAATATTTTACAAACTTGCTTGCAGTTAGGGGTGACCAAAACTTATCAGCAAAAATTATTACGTAGGATTCTAGGGAAAGATCCTCAAGAGGGAGGTTGCTAGTTGGCAAGTGCCCGTTTTGCCCCTTCTCCTTCCTCCTGCTCCCTACCTGGGAGACAGCTTAGATGGCAAGAGCTCCAGCAACCATGTTGGACCATGAAGCAACCCCAGGGATAGAAGCTACTTGCTAAGAATTAAAAAAAAAAAAAATCTTAAAAAAAAAAGAAGAAGAGTTTGGATTCCCGAAGACAATGTGGCACCGTGAAGACACCACGGCAGCCCTGGTCTGCTAATCTGGGCTTCTTTTATGTGAGAAGAAAAATAAGTAAGCCACTTATTTATAAGTAAGTATAATAAAAGGTTTACTTATAAGCAAACCTCTTAGGTCACTCTGTTCATTCTGATCTCTGTTGCTAGCACCAAACTTGATTCCAACGGATATCACCATTTTGAGTTGGACTTTTTGTCACTGTAGCCAAGGTGACTGACTCAAGTTGGAAGGCCCCAGTTCTACCACCAAGGACCTAAGCACTGCTATCACCAAAGAAGCTGTCCAAGAAGAGGCAGAAGGAGGTCAGGCGCGGTGGCTCACGTCTGTAATCCCAGCACTTTGGGAGACCAAGGTGGGCGGATCATGAGGCCAGGAATTTGAAACCAACCTGGCCAACGTGGTGAATCCCTAACTCTACTAAAAATACAAAAATTAGCTGGCCACGATGGTGCGCACCTGTAATCCCAGCTACTCGGGAGGCCGAGGCAGGAGAATCACTTGAACCAGGGAGGCAGAGGTTGCAGTAAGCCGAGATCATGCCACTGCACTCTCGGCGATAGAGTGAGACTCTGTCTCCAAAAAAGAAAAAAGAAAAAGAAAAGACAGAAGGAGGGAAAGACCCCTGCCACATATCAGGCCTTGAAGACCTTGGGGCCTCTCCTGTATTACTGGTCAACCCACTCCAGCATCTGGCGCAGCACCCAGCATAGGCGAAGGGTGGGCTTGAGGAATTCACTGAAAGAAACCAACACTGCTCAGATGCTTTCCCCGCCCCCAACTCCCCACCCTGTGCAAAGGGACATCTTCACCTCAAAGACATAGATTCCTATCTAAGAAATCATCTCAGGCAGGCCCTCCCAGGTCTTGGAAGATTCAAAGAGACGGCACTCGAAGTATGAGTAACACAGTACCTGGCCCACAATAAGTGCCCAGAAATGGGTGCTTTTGTTTAGATGTCAGACGAGTGGCAAATCTGATGCCTACACTTAAGCAGAAGACCATTAAGGACAGGCATTCAAGCCACCCAGCCTTGGGTTGAATCTGAGCTCCATCACTTCCTGGACAAAGTACTTAATTGTTTGGAGCCTCAGCTTCCTCATCTGTAAAGATGGGGACAAGAATCAAGGTGGTTGCCCCTTGTCCCCACAGCAGGGCGCTGTGGCTCACGCCTGTAATCCCAGCACTTTGGGAGGCTGAGGCAGGTGGATCACCTGAGGTCAGGAGTTCGAGACCAGCCTGGCCAAAATGGTGAAACCCCGTCTCTACTAAAAATATAAAAATTAGCCACTCGTGGTGGCATGTGCCTGTAATCCCAACTACTTGGGAGGCTGAGGCAGCAGGATCGCTTGAACTCGTGAACTGGAGGTTGCAGTGAGCTGAGATCGCACCACTGTACTCCAGCCCCGGAGACAAAGTGAAAGTCCATCTAAAAAATAAGAATCAGGTAGTTGTGAGGGTAAAATGTGTTCATGTCTATAAAGGGCCGACACACAGTAGGTATTCACTGTTACAAAGTCCTGCTGGGCGATGACGCTGGCCAGGCCCAGCCCCTGAGTCAGAGCATTCTCACATGGCCAGATTCACTCTGCACTGTACTCTAACATGTGTGCTCCTAACAAGTGAGCAAACACCCATGTGTGCTGACCAACTGCCCTTCTGAATGACAGGCACACAGACTGCACAGGGACAGGGATAAAGAACAAAATGCCTGGGTGGGTGCTAAAAGCCATAAGTGTGGGTTTTAGTACTGATCTGGGCCAGCAGGAGATCTATCTAGAGCCAAGGTCTGTTCCCAGCTCGGCACCATTTACTGTGCCATCTGGGGCAGGTCACCTGCCTTCTCTGGGTCTGTCCAATGAAAGGACCAACCAATCCATTCTCAAATCCCTGACAGTCCCAACAGCCAATGAACCTAGAGTCCTTTCTTTCAGGAATGCATCTGCCAAGTTTCAGTGGGGATGGATGTGAAGAGAAACCTAGCTTACACACACTTGCTTTCTTTCTCTGGGGGGATTTCCAAATAAAGTGAAACTGGCCAGGCACAACCTCAACCTGGAACAGCAGCCCCACCTGGGTATGCACCAGGGGGTGTGGGGCCCTGAGTCAGGAGCCTCACCTGGAAGAAAGGGTGGTTCCGGACTTCCTGTGCCCCCTGGGGCCCCGCGCCCAATCGCTTCTTGGGATCCTTGCAAAGCAGCCGCTGCAGCAGGTCCTGCGCCACGGGCCCGATCCGAGGGGGGAAGGGAGGGGAGCACTTCAGGATCCGTCTGGGAGGATTGGGGGGGCGTCAGGGGCAGCAAGCCCCCCCCCCACAGCGCTGCCCAGGCAGGCCCTGCAGCCCCCTGGCCGCCCTCCACGTCCAGCTCTACTCACCGAGACACCTCAGCCTGCGTGTTCCTCTCACCCTCCAGGGTGAAGGGCGAGGCCCCCGTCAGCAGCTCGAAGAGCAAGATGCCCAGGCTCCACCAGTCCACAGCCTGTGGGTGGAGCCAGGGTGATAGCCTGCGTCTCCCCTGCCTCACACCCCCCCTTTCCACCTCCCCCAGCCCCACTTCCCTGCCAACCCACCTTGCCATGCCCCGCCTTGCTACGGATGATTTCCGGGGCCATGTACTCAATGGTGCCACAGAAGGAGAAGGTCCGCTCTTTCTGGGAGGGCAAGAGGTCCTGTTTAGATGGCCAAGCCTCTCCTGTGCTCCAGCGCCCCACAAGGCCCAGAGTAAGACTTGCTCGACTTGTGAGGTTGGAGAGTTGAGCTGTGGAAACTTCTTGGAGCTATTCACTTCTGCAGCCCCAGAATGCAGGCCCAGAGCAGGAAGAGGCAGGAAGGAGGATCAAATGGGACACTGCAGGCAGAGACAACCTCCACTCACCTCCTCCGTCAGGAACTCCTTGCTCAGCCCGAAGTCCGTGAGGACAATGTGGCCCTCGGAGTCCAGCAGCACATTCTCCAGTTTCAGGTCTCGGTAAATGATGCCGAGCTGGTAGGAGCAAGAGAGGTGCTGAGGCCTCCTCTCCCAAACCCTCCCCAGCTCCTGCAGCTCCTGGCCCTGCTCAGGATAAGGAGACCCACCCCACCCAGAGAAGGTCATCTGCCTGTAGAGGGGGGTCTTCAGGGCAGAGCCACTGAATAAAAAAGGCCATTTAAAATATAAAGCAGGCCGGGCGCGGTGGCTCACGCCTGTAATCCCAGCACTTTGGGAGGCAGAGGCGAGTGGATCACGAGGTCAGGAGATCAAGACCATCCTGGCTAACATGGTGAAATCCCGTCTCTACTAAAAATAGAAAAAATAAACCGGGCGTGGTGGCGGGCGCCTGTAGTCCCAGCTACTTGGGAGGCTGAGGCAGGAGAATGGCCTAAACCCAGGAGGCGAAGCTTGCAGTGAGCCGGGATCGCGCCACTGCACTCCAGCCTGGGTGACAGAGCGAGACTCCGTCTCAAAAAAAAAAAAAAGATATAAAGCAAAGAAGGAGGGCCCCGTGGGACAGGCCCCAAGGTCCCAGAGAGAGGAAAGTCTGCGTGAAGAGCCCCATTTCAAGGGGGCCTTTGGAGCCAGGCCATGAGGTTTCCATTTGAGGAAGTTCTGTGAATGCAGCCCTGAGTTCCCTGAAAAAGGAAAGCCCCTTCGAGGAGGTGCCAGGGGAGGGGACCCCAGCAGGCAGCGATGAGGCTTCTTGTAAGGGGTCCTGGGGAAGTAGCTCCAGTTCCCACCCAGCTCACCACTGGCCCCCCAGGAAGCCCAGGGGGAAGCCTGAGGCTGCCCTGCCTGCAGATTCCTTCGAAGGCCCAGACCCAGTTCCCATGGCAACAGCCTGTGACCAGGTCTTCACCCACCTTGTGCAGGTGTTCCAGGGCCAGCACGATCTCACCCCCATACACGCGCACCTCAGCCTCCTTGAAGTACTGGCGCTGGTAGAGGTGGGTGAACATCTCTCCGCCGCTCACATAGTCTGGGAGGTGCAGTGGAAGTTAGGAAGCAGCCCCGTCAGGTGGCCTCGCCTGCCCCCAGCCACACCACCCCCGTTGGGATGTGGCGTGCGCTCACCCAGGATGAGGTGCAGCTTGGCATCCGTCTGGAAAGCGTAGTGCAGCGTGACCAGGAAGGGCGCCTGGCGCACCAGCTCCAGCACGGAGCGCTCGGTGCGCGTGTGCTCCTGCGTCTTGGCGCGCTGCACCAGCGCCGCCTTGCGCAGCACCTTCATGGCGTACAGCTTCCCCGCGTCGTGCCCGCCCGCCTTCCGCACCAGGAACACCTTGCCGTAGGCTGTGGGAGCAGCGAGTGGGTGGAGGGTAGGCTGTGAGCGGGAGATTGGTGCAGGCTTGGGGGGTGGGGGTGATGCCAACCCAGGAGGGTGTGCAAATTAGGCGAAGGAGCCGGGGCAAGAGGCAGGTGTGCAAAAAGCTGGCAGAGCCTTCTAAGGAAAGGGTGTGCACACCCCGGGAGGGTGCCCAGCAAAACCAGGGAAAGGATGTGCAAACCAGGCTGGAGAGCATGCAACTCCAGGGGGCCTGCTTCGAGGCGTGGGGGCGGGGCATGTGCAAATCTGCGAGAGATCAGATGGATGTGAAAAGATGCCAGTGCAAGGAAGGGAGGCAGAGGTGTGCACCTGGCTGGGGAAGAGATGCGCAAACCAGCGCTGGGGCGTTTGCAAAATGTGGGAGGGGATCCCATATTGAAAGAAAGGGAGGAGCTATGCAAATAACTTGAGAGGGGTGCAAGTCCCCCTCCCCAAGGTGTTGGCAAATCCAGGGGGGCATGCACGCACAGGACCGTGGAGGGAGGAGTGATGTCAACGTGGAGTGCCCTGGAAGTGGGCATGCAAACCCTGGCAAGGCAGGGCGGGGCAGGCAAGGCAGGCTGTGCCGGGAAAGGGTGGGGGGCCTGCTCAGTGGCCTGGCCCAGGCCCAGGAGTGAGCAGGCAGGAGGTCAGGGGCACCGCGCCTGGGACGCCTGCCCGGTGGATGGGGGTCCTCACCTCCCGTGCCCAGCACCTTGAGCAGCTCGAAGTTCTCCACGCTCACCTTCTCCTCGTGCCCGGTCAGGTTGGCTGTGGGCACAGGGGGTGAATGAACCCAGCCGGTCCATGACCCGTCCCGGCCCGCCCGGGGCAGCCGCAGTCAGGCCCCACACCCACCTTCAGTGATCCGCAGCTCCACGGCGCAGCTCTCATCCTCGTCTTCGTCCCCCATGGCGGGCGGGTCGCTGGGGCCCG